GCTGGCCATATTTAAGAAGAGCACTTGTTTGATGTTTTGCTAGTTTTCTAATAATAAAACTAATACTTCAAGGATTGTACATATGTACTGTATCTAAAAACACACAGATATATCAAACCTTACAGAATGCAGGACATGTTTGTTAGTTTATTATTGCATCTGTATCTAATATTTAATTTGCTTTCTTAATATCCTAAAAGTTGTTTAAGTGTGAATAAACTAAACCTCATTGGCCACACTACATCCAGTTTTGTACTTGACCATTTTTATGTATTATGATCAACGCAGTGCATATAAGAATGTTGATGTATTATGTACAATATATACACCTGTTTTATTGGATTAATTAAATTGGTTAAATTAAACCAGTTTTAATATGTTGTGAATAAAATGTCACAATATCATTCAGAATATAGAGTTTTCAGAGTTAAAACAGTCACTTTCTCAGTCAGAACAAGCTTCTGATCATAAAGTAAAGTGACCGTTAATACTGTATATGTGACCAGGTTACTTGGCATGACCATGATCACAAAACTGCAATGTTGATTTTATTTTTCTGTGATTAGTTATTGTTCCACTGTGCTTCCACATAGAAACTAAGTACTTTAAGCGAAAAAAAGCACAAAAATGTTAAAACAAAACATGTAAATGGATTTTCTCCTGCTATAGTCCCTTTCATAATAGAGGTTATCATAGTCTCAGAATCCTTTTGGTGATATGTGTATCTGAGGGTGGCCTGTTAAATCTGAATATATTTACACTATTTGTAAAAACAAATGAAATGGTGAAACTGTATTTTTCTGGAGGCAGACTCTGACATTTTGACATCTGAAACACATTGATATTAAACACATTTTCTTTATATACATATTTTTATTAGATATTCTGGCTCGCTCAGTTCTGTTATCAGCAAAAAAATAAACCAGTTTATCTCACCATCCAAGTTACTTTTTTTAAGCTGTCTTTGTAATGCAGTTTCTGTGGAACTGATTAGGTGGTGCTGACTGTGCTTTGATTAAGGTTTGTACACTAATTAGGTTTTGCCTGGCAAGTAAGCTGTAGTCTTCTTGTATACATTTTGACATTTAATAGACAAGTAGGGAAATGTCACGGGTTTGTAAAGCTTTCTTTTAGTGCTATGATTATGACTATGCTAATTAATTCCAGGAGATGAGTCAGTTCATTTACATAACAAGATAAGCATAATTACAACATTTAGTAGCCATTTTTAAGAGCACAACTTGTATTGTGCTCTCCTTTCAGACTAGCTATTCATGAAAGTAGGAATGATAAATACAGCTGGTTGTCTGTAAAAACACCCACGGAGATATTTCTGTTTCGTACACAGTACAGAGAATAACGTAATATTGAACAATAAGATGTCATTGAAAGACATCTTAGTTAAACTAAGAAACACAATTTTCTCTTTCTATTGCTTAGCTTACTAAAACATTTCCAAGAACAATCCTCCAGATGTACACATTGTAATATACTGATGTGTCAGCAAATATTTAATTGAATATTTATCAATGTTGGAAATAAACATTTAACTGAAGAAAGCATGCAACATAATTTGTTTGATATAAGAATAAATCACTTAGAATATTTATATAATCCTTTTATAAAATATCATCATAAAACATTTTTTAACTTAACCTTGTCTCTGTAGAGAACAGGGCTGTCAGTGACTACAGGATCACATTAAAATGAACCATAAGTTGTATACTTTATTAAAAACTGTTTTTGTATATTCTGTATTATCAATGTTTACAGAACATCCCATATAAACAGCACTAGAAATCATAGTTACTTGAATAATACTATTGCTCAACATTTTTTTCCTTCTCAACACAGGCATTTTGTGCTGTCCCCTTAAAAAAAAAAAGTATATTCCTACAGTACTTGGTTCATAACAATGGTAGAGATGATTTATTCATATTTTCTCTCACATATAAAATGCATAGATTTTTTCTGCATATGGAGAAATTTGACAAAAATATAACTAGTGATAATTTGTTGAATTCTGTCTTCTGAGGTATAGGTTGATATGGGAATGCATTTCAATGAAGGGCTATTTTTTACCTTGTGTAAAAGGCAGAAAATGAAAACAGAGGAAGTTTTTAAACTGAAGAATACACTACTTGTACCTCTTGTACACTACTAAGAAGATAAAATTGACTAGATAATAAAGGATTGGCTTATCATTAATTAAGCTGTCACGATAAACACACAAAGGTACACATACAGTATATAAACAGATGCCAATTTCTGGAGCAATTGTGTGTTTCAATTGGTACATGCAGTGTAGATTTTACTAAATAGGTACTGTACCTTCCCTGCTTAAACTGCATTATCGAAAACAAGTAGACGACAATCTAATCTAATCTAATATAATATAATCAGCTAATTGACCATTCTCAGTTTGGAATACCTATACATTCTACCAATTTTCTGGTGACATTCCATGTAGACTGGAGCTACTGTTTGCGTGCAGTGTACAGTCTGCACTACTGGCGGGTGACACCCACTCCAAAATACCAATACAGTACCGAAAGCAGTCTTTGAAGTAGGATACATGATACCATTACAATGCCATTCTTCCAATTATTTTTTAACCTTCTCCATGAAGCTTTTGCATCAAATTAAATTATCATAAATCATCAAAGGATTTGAATGTGTATGTAATACATACAGCACATTTAAAAATGCTTTTCTAGGTTGGACGTTTTATTTTAAAAATGTAAAAGACAAATGAGCATGTAATCTGCACATTGACCAGGTAAGGAAGGACCTAATTTCAAGTACATATAGTCATTTTAAACAAAAAAATAGTTAATACAAAAGTTACAAATTATGTTAAATTAGAAATTATGTACAACATGTTATCAGCTGGGCTACAGCATGAAACAAAATAGCGATGGCTCTTTTTTAAAAGTTTTATAACACCAAATAATACTGCTTTGGCAACAACAGACAGTCCAATAAAGCTCATTTGAATTTGATAGAGAGTATGTACCTGCATATGAATTGCTGTGGTGCATGAGAATAGATAGTGTTGTCAAGCAGGGTAAGAATAAACAGGGGGAGGGTGTGATCACTGTGAGAGAGATGCTGGAATATATAAGACTGCATTGCAATATCACTTACTTCAAGTGTTCTATTTGTTTTGATTTAATCCTTTTGTATATTTTGTATGTCATTCATATGATAGTTTGTTACTGCATTATAGGCTGCTAGTGTATGATATTAAAGTTCTCAGTGTGGGTGCCTCCCCCCCCTGCTTTTCTTTCAGTTTCATGGTTTGAAATCAAAGCAAGACAGAGTTTGTATAGTAATTTAAAAAAGAATCAATTTCCAGCATTGCCTGTAGAATGCACCAAAATATCCCATCTTACCCTCTCCCCATTCATTCTTTCCCCAATACAATCTGATTTCACTTCCTATACAACATGGCAATTCACATTCAGGTATATTCTTCTTTATTGACATGGCACCGCTTTGTGGTGTTGCCAGAATTATAAAAATCTTGTGATTCACATTTTCCTTTTGAAAGTCCGACATCGGAGTTTGACAGTGAAGTAATTCCAAGATTGGTTTACTCCAGTTTCTGGTGCATTGTTTGCGGCATATGTGGTGTTGCTAGGTGATTGTATGGTAGAGGAGTTTCCTTACTTCTCAGACAAGCAGTTAGAATCAGTTAGAAGTCTGTGGTGTTGCTGTGTTGCTCTTTTTTTCAGTAAAATCTGGGAAATGCATTTTCCTTTTGAAATGCCTTTTATATATAGAACTTGCAAACATTATGACAAATATTAATTAAAATATTAATTTCAACATTTCCTAACATTACCCAAATAAATCACTGGAATCCCTCATATAATTATTATAATAAATTCAAGCATTTAGTAAATTGACAAACCAGCCATTAAACTTCAAATTCAAGTCAATGTCTCTCAGATAAATTCTAAGGCATATTGCCTCCTTTTGCTTGAATTACTTTTAAACATCTTTGGCATTTTAGCTAGCATTGTTCAATAATGAAACCTATTTGGCTTCACTAGACTATAAAAAATCCCAAATTAATCTTCATATGCTACTTTTGTACTAGTATTGAACTGGTTTGCTTCCTATCATTAATGATTTTGTCAAACCATGTAATGAATCATGACAATATCATCTTCACAATATTGTCTTACGGACAACAGCATTAAACAGTATGTCCTGGAAGTCTCAATGTTTGGAATGCAACTCCTCAGTGTCACAGGGTACTTTTGGTAATTTTAGTGTTGCAGAATATTCCTCATTTCTAAGAAACCTCTCTCTCTTGGTCTCTGGGGCTTGCACATGTACAGTAGAAGGTCTCTGCTATTATTGTTAATTTCTTTTAACAATTTTGGAGCCAGAGTTTTCATAAAATTGTGAGATTTACCTGGCCTCCAGGAACTTGTGTGTGACTTTACAAAAGTTGAATATTCATTTAATAAATCCGCAGATTTATTTTGTGCAAGTAGTTCAATCATAAAATTATATTTAATTGCTTCAAAGCAGAGATAACATTTTCTTAGTTGAATGTACACTATTTTGATGTATTTATTGTAGACTTTTTGTGAAAAGCCTCATGAATTGAATTGGTATTCTGTGTGAGAAAGAGTGAATTACATTTAGTACTGGGACCTTTTATGTTTGGAAGTTCGTTGAAAAATGATATTCACATATTTGTTTGCAAAGAGTGATAATGCAGCCACAGGAATACTTAACAAACAGTAAGCTGTTTGCAGTATGTCTAAGCATACTAAAAGCTGAGGTGTACATGCAGATTCTCAAGAGCTGTTTAAAATCAGAATCCAAGATCATGATAGGAGTATCATCAAGGGCATGTTTTAAAAACAGTTTTTACTTCCCATTAAAGATATTTAAACAAAAACATTTTTTGTGACTAAAACAATAAATATTTTTTCACATGATTTTCACTGTTCATTTTCTTTCTCTTGTGTCTATTCCAGTCTGCATAGCGGGTTTCTTTAGACCCTCTACTCAGAGCCCTGGGTGCAGTAAGTGTCCTCTTCACAGTCACACCTATGTAGAGGCCTCTACCACCTGCCAGTGTGAGGATGGCTACTTCAGGAGGGACAATGACCCACCCAATATGGACTGCACAAGTAACTGCTCTTTAATTAAAGAAGCTTCTGAAATTCTTTCAATATCTTATTGCTGTATATTAGAGTTAAGGAGAAGTCCAAAACTTCAGACTCCAACCTAGGTTAAGTGCATGTTCACATGAATTGTGAAACTTTAGGTGTAAAAAAAAAAAAAAACCCAAACCCCTGTCCCTTTTGTTTAAGCTCTAAAGTCAGACATATTTTAAAATTTGTGATTCATATTTTTACCTCTGTAAAATGTACATTTGTCAGTATAAAATAACAGGAAACAACTTGTTTGCCTGGTCACAAAGTTGTATATAAATGGTTATTATTTCTAGTTTACTTGAAGGTTGTGATTTTATCCCTACACTCCAGAGCCACCCTCAGCTCCTCGAAATGCAATCTCAAATGTGAATGAAACAAGTGTGTTCCTGGAATGGATGGCACCTGCAGTAACAGGAGGCCGGAAGGATGTGACTTACAACATAATTTGCAAGAAGTGCAGTTCAGACTCCAATCAGTGTGAAGAATGTGGCAGCCATGTCAGGTACCTCCCTCATCATAGGAACCTACGCAACACCTCTGTGATGGTGGCAGATCTTCTGGCCCACACAAATTACACTTTCGAGGTGGAGGCAGTTAATGGCGTTTCAGCTCTCAGCGCCCGACCCAGACAGTTTGTCACTCTAAATGTGACAACCAACCAGGCAGGTGAGTAGAGACAGTATCAAAGGCTTAAGTAACAAAATCACTGGTGTGTTCAATCATTAATGTGCTGGAATAATGTTTCAGAATCTAATTTCTTAAGAAAACCTGAAGAATGATCTTAAAAATCTTGAGAATTCATTTAATACAAGTTAAGTTCAATTTGTTACGAAATGTTTTGAAAACTCTTTTCACTTCTTTTGTACTACTGTTCAAATATGCATGTAAATAAAAACTTCCAAACATTCTCCTATCACAAGTATTAAGTACTAGATTTATTAAGTGGCTGTCCATTAGATACATGCTGTAGTCTTATGAAAAAAAGGAAAACCCACTTTCAAATGACCAGCTTGAAAACTGAAATTGTCGTAGGGTTGGAACTTATCTTTCATTCAGCTTGTAAATTCTTTAGTCTGATGAATTTAACTTATGTTCTTGTTTGGGCTTTGTTACCACACTTGCATAATAGTTTTTTTGTTTCTGTATTCATTGGGGTGCATTAAAGCCAAAGTAGAGGGCATTGGAAATGTGTTATTTTAGGTGATTTACTATATCAGGAAAACTATTATTACCATAATGGTTGGGGTGCTGCGCCAACAGGAAAACTTCAAAGGAACAATTAAAGCTCAATTCCATATTGAAAAGTAGAAAGAAAAAATACATCATTTTAGTTGTGGAGCCTTCTAAAGGTGCTGACATCTTACACCATCACCATGAATTCTTTCTATTTCTCTTACTATTACCTTAACTACTACTACAACTACAAAGATCCAAACTGTTAAGCAGCAGCAATCACTTGTAACAAATCATGCATTGTCTGAGGATGACATGCATTTATCGTCACCCTGAAATGTGGAACACAATATCCACCATATCCATTAGAGAACTTAAGAATAGTTCAGAAGCTTTTGTAATGAAAACCTCTCTGTCTTTGCATGTGAAGAATAGTTCTATTTTGTTTGACAAATTCAACTTTGGCATTAACAGAGTCTGTTGAGAATGTGGGTCTTTTAAAAAGCAATTTTTGATTTTTATGGAAGTATTTTTGTAGAAGTATTACTTGAAGGAACTTTGTTCAAATGAACACAGGGGTTTCTTTTTATTTGTACACTTGTTGATATTCAGATGGGTTTAATCTGTTATTTTGTATTCTTAGCACTGGATTCCTTGACTTAATATACAATTTTTTCTGCACATTGTTGGAATTATTTGAGTTAGGTTCTAAAATCAATGGCTCTCACAAATCTGTGATTTATAATAAACTGAGAAACGTTTTTTGAACTAGTTAGTTTAAAATCAGCTTCAACTATTGGAGATTCTTGTTTGTCAAGAAATATCACTACTATATTTCTTTCAGATGGAAGTGTTCCAGAGTTAAGGCTCTGTGAGTTTAAGCTTACATTACTCAAATCAAATATTTATGCATAAGGTTGTCTTGGCAATGTCTTACATTTTTCTTTCAAGCATTTTAAAAAATGGTTTATTTTCTATTTATTTTTTTGATGGGAAAATAATATCAGCTTTGTATTCAACAGGCTGAGACAGATAAAATCTTTCACTGGTACTGCAGGTAATGTATTGACTGTCATGACTCTGACTCTGAGAAACTACTGCTGCTGCCATTTCAGGGATGTATGAATGATGGCTTTGCATGTGTTTAATACACAATGCAATATACAGTATAATATAGTTTGTTCATATTCTGTCAAATCACTTACTGAAAAAGATTTTATATGTAAACATATTTGCTTTCTGTGTGAGATAAACCTTCTGGCAAAGCAAGAATTGTAGCTTGATTACCAGTTTAATGGATTTTTTCTGATTTTATCAAGCATTTTCTTCTAAATTGTCAGTGAATTGTTTATATTGATGTGAATATTGTAGGGAGGGTTAAACATAGCCAAAATTTCAAAACATTGAAATGTCAAAAAAATAAACATTGAAATCTAGTCATGTAGATAATCCTTTAAAAAAAACAATATGACTTATATGACATTAGAACATTGATAGAATGTATTGTTTGAACCTGAAGTGAGGATTCCATTTAAAATTTAAATATTTGCAGTAACATTGTTACCTTTCCAATAAGGAGTCGCTTATAAAATTAAAAATATAAGTAAATATGAGCAAATGTAGATACCAAGAGAATATAGTTCCTAAAGTAGTAAAAATGGTAATATATACTTCCTCTATTCTTATTTAATGTTAAATGTGTGGAATACAGATCTTTGAACTTTTGTTTCTGAATAACTTCTTCTAGTGTATTTTATGGTTTTGTTTGCTCTCAATTGTAGAGGAGAACCTATAAATAAATGCAGTGGCAGAACTTGACAATCAGATATTTTTATGGACCCCTTTTCCAGTGCCTCTCTCTTAACATCATGCACTAGATACAACATAATAAAGTAACCTACTAATTTATTTGAAATTCATCCTCTGAGCCTCCCGTTCAACAAAATCATCTACAATCTCTTTGTAGAGCCCTTTCATACAATATACTTTTTTGCTTGTCCAGCTCTAAGCTTTTCAGTAAAATGTCCTCTGTTGGAGGACGTTGATCTGACTCCAGTCTACTGCTCATGAGAGTTGCTGGAGGTCATTGGTATAGTGACTTGTTCATCTCTCTGCCTGCCCAGTCCCCACAGGAGCACTGCATACATTGTATGTTGCTAGCAAGTGGTGAGCCAGTCAATTGTGGTTGACTTACAGTGGGCTTCATGCTCAATCTTTTTGTCAGGTGAGACCCAGAAAAACATTGTTTTAGTCAGTTTGACTGCTACTCTGTTTTGGTATTTCTTTTAGAAGCTCTACTTTTATGCTTTTTGTAGCATAAGTAACATAGTATATTTTATAGAATTGTGGTTATAAGCCATCATTAAATTTAAAAATTGACACCAGCATCCATTTTTGTTCTGGCTGCCTTTTCCCATAAAACTTTATTTTGTAATTAGTATATTTAAATACCACAATTAATATATTTCACACAGACCTTTACATAGTCACTTGTGAAAGTCCTCTCATTTATACAGAATACGTTAGTTAAGTTAACTTTATATCAACACATTCTAACCAAAAACCCTGGCCTTAACTGAAATTTATTTCAAGAAATACTTTATCGTCGAGCAAATGATGGGAGACTATTCAGAAAGTGTCACGACTGGAACAGGCTTTCAATATTAGTGGTATGAGTGAATCACAATAACCATGTCAGAAAAATAGTTCTATTGCTGAAACATACAATGCTTAACACATTGTGTGTCATACCGGGGCCTACACATGGGGCCCCCGGTGCATTCACACAATCTACACCAATGCATAAAGCACAGACATAGACCTTCCCCCCTTAGGAAATGAACTATTTGATTAGGAAAAGGAATACAATTATGCTGCCCTGCCATAATTCTCCATGTCATCTATATTTAATAATGCACTGTTTGCACCTCACTGCCTCTTTTAGCACAGAGGAGGGCTTTTCCTGTGGGAGCAACTGGTATTGACTTTTCATTAAAGTAATGATGACCCTAATGGATGCTGATGTATAATCTTCTTGATCTGAATTAATACTGTAATTACTTAGGATATAACCCAAGACAGTTTGTCATACCTGCTACACACGCAGTGGTGTGTGAAGTGTTCCAGAATTTAACATCTAATTGAAATGAAGAACTTTACTGTATCTGATTGAAAACTCTACAGAATCAGAGCAACTGATACTGCCACCCTTTCATTTACTGTAAGTGCCAGTGCCAGATACAGTATATTCCACTACATATACAGTATGTCAGTGAATTCAATATAACCTTACATTGTTCTAGACTGTGTCTGCAGCTTCTGCTTTATCAGTGTTTTTGACGATGCCTTATAGATACTGTACATAGTAGACGTAGACTTCAGTGATTCAATGTGATTCAAAGTACAGCATTATGCTATGGAAATGTTCAAAACTGCGAAGCAACTGCTACATCATTGAATTTTTTCAGAAATGTGCACATATTAAATCACTAATAAATAATATATTGTTTTGTAAATCTCAAGTGTGAATGTTTTTGGTCAAGTTACACAAGAGCTTTGCATCATCCATATTAAAAAGTAGCCATAGAATAGTTAAATTATATGAAAATATAATTATAATTATGTGAAATTAATTTTCAAGTACTATATATTTTTAACATGTGTAGCTTTATTTTATACATGAAGAGGAGTCATAGTTTTATTTACAACAATCATGAATATTATGTAATAAAGATTATTATGGAGCTGACTACTTGAAAATATTTCCCCTTTATTTAACATTGTCTTAAGTTGGTGACAACAGAAGGAAACATTTTAACCTATCGTTTTTAAACTCATTGTCAGATTGAACCTATGGAGACCTTATTATAGGCAAGACTTCAAATGTACCATAGCAGTTAGGGATTTTGCAGGTGTGGTAGTGTGTTCAGGCATCCCCAAGGAGTCATCTTCTTCTAAAACTGGGTTTCATTTTATTAAAGGACTGGCTGCATTCGTCCTAGGGGAAATTTAGTGACTTTGAAGTGCCATTAATAGGTCTCCAGAAAGCAAGAGGTTAGAATTTCATTGATAATGTCCCTTTTATTTAGGCCTAATAGCCATGTATAGACTGCTGTGTAGTCTTAGAAAAGTGCAATAGCTGTTTAACAGTATTTCCAATATTTGCCCAATGGAACATATTTTCTTTTTTCTTGTTTAATTCCCATTTATGCAGTGAATAAACGTTTGTGAAATGCCAATGCAAATGTTGAGTGCAAGCCTGTTTTGCAGTATTCTAGTAAAAAGATAAGTTTGTTGTCAATGATGGATCATTTATTTGTTTTATACAAATAATACAAATTTCATGATAGAACCTGTGATCTTAGAGATTGCATTTCTTTGATATGCAATGAAGTCTTTAATGCGTCCCTGTTATGCCTAACCAGTGTCAAGTCTTGGACAGGGATGTAGTTTGTTAAATGTACATTAGATGCAGGGCAAGGAAAAGAATAGAA